TCGGCCACACTGCCCGCAAGACCCACACCAGCCATCGTATTCCGGCCGTGAAAGCCTTCGACAATGCACTGTGATTTGTTCGGCAAACCGTGGTCTAAATCCTAGCCTAGCATTATGACTTGGAATTTTATTCTGTTCACTTATACTGTGCTAGGGTAATGAGCACAAACCAAAGAAAAATGCTAAATAGACCAGTGTTTCTCAAACATGTCAACTTAAGGTGTGTGGACTTCACCCCCCAGATTCCCCCAGCCAGCCTGGCTGGCTGTGGAATTCTGGGAGTTGAAGTCCACACATCTTATTGCAGCTGAGCCTGAGAAATACTGCTGGAGAGAGGGGGAAAGTCAGGCTGAGAGGATGGCGGCTCAGTTACACACACCTCAGCCGCAGGGTGACAATCCAGAGGCCCATTTCAGAGGTTCCCCCATACAATTTCACATCCAGCTGCCCTCTTTTTTGTACCGGATCTGTGTGAATCCCCCTTTTTCCCCCTTGGTGCCCGGAGCCGTCAAACAAGAGCCCTGCCGGGAACGAAACCGGCGCCAAACCAAAACACGGGGGCTGCTTCCTGCTCTTTTTTCCTCCCTTAAAACATCTCTCCTTTTTCTCCCGACACCCTTTCAAGCCGCCCATTTTCCCTCCCTTCTCTTTCTCGCCCCTCCGTCGCCTGCCAGGCCGCGGGTGTTTTATTTTGCCCTTCGTTTTATGTAATTTTGATTAAGCGTGTTTACACGGTTAAAAGGCTAATATAAAAATATGTAAAGAAAACTAAGAGAACGGGCAGAAAGCTAAACGGCCGAAGACAGAAGAAAGGTATAATTAAAGAAACAAGAACCAGGAAAAAAATAAGCGACCTTCTTTTCAACCGTTGCCCTCCTCCCGCCTAGGCGTTGCAAAAATCCCTTCGGCCCCTCGTTCAATCCTTTGCAGTCGTCAGGTCCAGAAAGCCGCATTTCGCCTGTCCGCATCCTCAGCCAAAAGTCCCCACCGCAAAGGGTTTCCAGCCTCCTAGAAACGCGCCGAACTGCTTCGGCCACGTGGGCGCTGCCAGCAGCGCGGCCGTTCCCCGCGGAGCCTTTTCCATGCCTGCGCGCTGCGGCCGCGCTTGCTCCCGCCTGCGCCCCGCATCCCGCCGCCTGCCTGGCTGCCTCTCTCCCCGCGGCCAGCAGATGGGGTCCGCCGGCACTGCTGGCCCGCGCGCGCTCCTCGCACGCAGCTCGCCTTTTCCTTCCTGCCTCGT